TGAGAGTATATGATGCCAGTAATGTTAGGATGTGCCAATTTAGTCAGTATAGGCAGTATCTTATCTATACAATGCATTCTCACCCCAAGGCGTCACCTTTGACCATGCTTCAATATTTGACGTTTTAGGCGCCCTTTAGCGTCACTTACATGACGCGATCCTACGGCGTCATCTAACTGACGCTAAAGGAAAGCGTCAGTTAGAGGACGCGGTTAGGTTTAGGTGTGGGGTGGGGGTAGGGTACACGCGATCCTAGGGCGTCATCTAACTGACGCTAAAGGGCGCCTAAAGCGTCAGAAATTGAAGCATGTCCAAATGCTTCCCAAGGCGTCAGTTAAGTGACGCCTTGGGGGTGAGAATGGGCTGATCTATAGGCCTGAGCTGTGACGACCCCTGCTGTTGGTCTTGAGTGTTGCTGTTGGTACCTGAGCCCGCTAATTGCATCAAATGGCCTAATTGCCTCAATGGAAACACCTGTGACCTTAGTTAAAAGATCACCATCTGAGCCAAGGAAGGAGGGCTTTTGGTTTTGGACTTTGCTTTGGTGTTTGGCTTGCGTTGTATTTTGTTGCTTTTTGCATTCACATTTCAAACCTCAACATTGCATTACACTTTCAACCATGCACCGTGCTCTACACACTGATTTTGCTGATTACTACAGAAACACTTTTATTTTCTTTAATGGTTTTCATTTCATTATTCTGTTTTGTCTTATCATTTGTAGTTAAATAAACATTATTTTTGAGCCTATAATTTGGTTTGCGTGTGTCCCTTGTTTTTGTTGCTTCCCTTGAGCCAAGGGTCGTAACAAATTGGGGGCTCGTCTGTCCTTTGATAATTTGATTGCGTTACATTTTTGGATGCTTAATTTGATAATTGATTATTTGTTGGACACACGAAAATGTTTTTGTGCCAAAGTCAATTTGTTCACCGTATGAAATCACCAGTTGGTAAGTGAATGTGCAATATTGTTTTTTTTGAACGTGAGTTTTCTCTGATAGGCATAGCGGCATGTTTCTTTTGAGATGTGTCGGGTTTGTTATTTTTGTGTAGTGTTGCGGTGAAAGTGGGTAGTAGTAATTATCTCGGGAGCACATCCGTGGTGTTGAGGGCGTCGCTGGTTTGACCAGTTGCGTTTTTCACCCAGCGGGCTACAGTGCATAAATACCCCCCACCGGTAATCGCATGAAGACTAGGGTTGAGTTAGGTAGAGAAGTATTGGAAAGGTAGGTAGAGGGAAAACTCTCGTTATTTGATTGCACTGTGCTGATTATATTTGTTCTGGTGATTTCAGCATGGCTGATATTGATGAGTTTGTTAGTTCACCTTCTCATGAACTTTTGAACGGGTGTACTAAAGAGCAATTATTGAGTATTGCTGAACATTATGAAATTGTGATAAAAGGCTCAAAGAAAATGTTAAGACAGCTTTGAAAATTGAGTTAATTAAACAAGGTATCTTAGATATCGAGATGGAGGAAAAAGATGTACCGATTGCACCTGACTTAAAAAGTAATTTGTCTTTTGAACAGCAAAAAGAGCTGCTACTTCTACAGATGGACCATGAGAACATAAAACTGCGTGCTGAACAAGGTAAAAGGGAATTAGAAAAGGCAAAGTTGGATTTGGAATTTCTCAAGCTCAACCTAGTGAAAGAAGGTAAGCTTTCTGGTTCTGGTCAGGAACAGAATGTGTTTTTTTTTCGATCAATTCAAACTTAAAACTCATTCCTAAATTCAACGAGGAAGATCCTGATACTTTCTTTACTCTATTTGAACGCATGGCAGAATTAAGGAACTGGTCCGATGATAATCGTGTTGCTCTACAGTGTGTGTTAACTGGGAAAGCACAAGTAGTTTTTTCTTCATTGTCGGTTGATGATTGTAAAGATTATGAGAGAGTTAAATCTTTAATTTTAAAGGCGTATGAATGTGTACCCGAAGCATACAGACAGCGCTTTCGATGGCAGAAAAAAGACCAGTTACAAACAAACTTAGAATTTGTGCGTGATCTGAGAAAACACTTTAATCATTGGTGTTAATCATTAGACATTAAAACACTGGAGGATTTTACGCATTTGATGGTGTTGGAACAATTTAAAAATTCAGTCCCAAGCCGTATAGCTGTGTATATTGGTGAGCATAATGTTAAAACACCAGAGGAAGCGGCTAGGTTGGCCGATGATTTTGTACTGACGCACAAAACCACTTTTGTTGATTGGCATGCTCGTGATGTTCAGTACATAAAGTCTCCGTCTAACGGTAACTGTGTTTCCACAGGAACTTTTGATCCAAACAAGATTTGCAATTACTGTCATGAGAACTGGAAAGTAGATTGTCCGGTCCTTAAAAAGAAGTCCAAACATAATGCACAAAGTTCACATGCTAAGCCTTCTGCTCTCGCGGCACCACCAGTCCTGTTTTCAGGGAGTGTATATGTAGCATATTGCGTAGTTTTCCTGAATTATTTGGAGATGTGCCATCGCGTACCGATTGGGTAGAACATATCGATGTTGGGGACGCAAAGCCTATTAAACAGCGTTTTTATCGTGTTGCGCCTGAGAAACGAGAACTAATGGAGAGGGAAATTAAGTATATGCAGGATCACGATATTGCAGTACCTTCTTTTTCTGATGGGCTTCTCCGTGTATTTTAGTTGGGAAGTCAGACGGTACTGTAAGATTTTGTACGGATTTTCGTAAAGTTAACGCCTTAACAAAGCCGGACTGTTTTCCTTTGCCCCGAGTCGAATTGTGTGGACCAGGTTGGTTCAGCCAAGTTCGTCAGCAAGTTTGACTTGCTGAAGGGCTATTGGCAAGTGCCTTTAACCAAGAGAGCACAAAAAATTTCATCTTTTGTCACCCCGTCAGGGTTACATTCTTACCGGGTCATGAGTTTTGGTCTACGAAATGCTCCGGCGACTTTTCAACGCCTCATGAACCGTGTAATCTGTGGTCTTGAGCAACCCAGTCTCATATTAAAATGTACCCTGACTACGTTGGTCCAAAGTGCAAAACGTAGAGGGGTTACAATAATGGCTCTTAAATTGTATGACTGTTACATTTTTTTTTTTTGCTTATTCTTGTTTTCCGTCAGAGTCACGTGACTTTCAAGATTACGGCTGTGAGAACAAAAAACATGGCGGACATTTCTTTCATGTTTAGTGAAAAAAACTATATTTTCAGTTGGTTTCTGCATAAAAAACAAGTTTTGATTACATTTCTAGCGAGAAATATATATTTTATTTTCATAATATCCACTCAGTGAGTGTACATAATCACCTGTTTGCTCGTTACTGCAAATATTTTTCAGATCTCGCCAGAATAATGTGAAACTGAAACGTTTTGGTTGCTATAGCAAACATGCCAGTGCGGGCCCACTGTGGGTAAGTGTGGGTTTTCTGTGGGACAGTGTGGGCAAGGGCAAACCCTTTGGGGCCCCATGTGGGCTTGCTGAGGGCAAGCCCACTGTGGGCTTTCCCACAGAAACCCCTCAAGGGCCCCTAGTGGGTTAGCCCATGTGGGGCCCATAGCAGTTTTGCCCATTTGGGCCCCCATGAGGGTTTACTGTGGGCAACCCACTGTGGGTTTGCCCACAGAAAACCCACAAGGGCCCCCAGTGGGTTAGCCCATGCGGGGCCCATAGCAGATTTGCCCATTTGGGCCCCCATGAGGGTTTACTGTGGGCAACCCACTGTGGGTTTGCCCACAGAAAACCCACACGGGCTCGCAGTGGGTTAGCCCATGCGGGGCCCATAGCAGATTTGCCCATTTGGGCCCCCATGAGGGTTTACTGTGGGCAACCCACTGTGGGTTTGCCCACAGAAAACCCACACGGGCTCGCAGTGGGTTAGCCCATGCGGGGCCCATAGCAGTTTTGCCCATTTGGGCCCCCATGAGGGTTTACTGTGGGCAACCCACTGTGGGTTTGCCCACAGAAAACCCACAAGGGCTCGCAGTGGGTTAGCCCATGCGGGGCCCATAGCAGATTTGCCCATTTGGGCCCCCATGAGGGTTTACTGTGGGCAACCCACTGTGGGTTTGCCCACAGAAAACCCACACAGGCCCCCAGTGGGTTAGCCCATACGGGGCCCACAGCTGTTTTTCACTATGGGGCCCCCATGAGGGTTTACTGTTGGCAACCCACTGTGGGTTTGCCCACAGAAAACCCACATGGGGCCCCAGGCAGTTAGCCCATGCAAAGTTAAGTTGTTTAACCGTCAAATGTTTTAACATTAGAAGGTTTAATATTAGAAGCTTAATCAAACTATTTAACGATCCTGTGAAATGTCAGTCCATAATTAACTAAAACTGCATATAATGGATTATGAGCATGTGCATTTAAAAACAAATTTTTGACTTATAAGGAATTATAAAAAAATATAGATGTAACTATTTAATGTAATGCGGTAGGTCTTAATGAGTCTTTATAAATATATTTATAGAATTGTAATATTGCTCATAAATAAGTAGAAATGGTGCTATAATTCATTATAAGTATGGACTGCACAGAAAGTGTTACCATATTTATTAAATAAAATTAACTTATTTGTCACAATAAAAACAATACAATGGTTTACAGATATGTTTTGGTATTCATCAGTGATGGATATTTATCAATATCATAATATTATATTATTTATACTATTGATATATAACATATATTATTGATACTAATAAATGGGCCTACTGTACATCACTGATGTAACGACTGAGCCCAATCAGACACAAACGAAACTGCGACGTCACTGGACGTAATTTCATTACCAACTTTCATTTATATAAAGCATTTTAGTGCTTTCATATTCTAATGAAAAAAATAATATTACATTGGTCAAAACTACATAATGATTTTTAAATTCATGATATAAAATGAATGATATTTTAAATTGTTACATGTTATAATTCTAGATGTTTAAATGCTGCGTGCCTTTTGAATTGATATGATTTCAACGCGCGTGCGCGTGCGAGTCGCATTTAAAGTTGTCCGATTCAAAGACAGGAGCGCACGCGAGCAGATGGAAACCATGGAAACGAGGAAACCTCTTCAACTGACAAACAGCAAAAAATAGCGTCTCCCTGTTTTTCCACTGCTTTCAGGTAAGTTTGGTTAACAAAATCACACAAATAATACATACAAACGTTCCTGACACCTTTCTTACGTATAATTGATACGCTTCTGTTGAATATTTACTTTGTAGAAAAGGTTTTGAGTCTTCGAAAAAGTCCGTAGTTAGCATCTCAACTGTTTTCAGAATAGGTAACGTTAAACGTTAAGTTAAGTTAACGTTAGCTCTTGTTTTACATAAGTTTGGGGTTTTAACCACATCTTTGTGTTGATTACAGTTTTTGTTTTGCTGGTAATTTGTCAATGGGTTATTGGAAATTAGCTAATTGCTAGCTAGCCTGAAAGAATTCACACTGTAACGTACTTACAAAGATTGATAATAAAAGTGATTTCAGAAGGGACAGAAAAAAACCTCCACAACAAAGGAGGAATTATTGTTTCATGATAATAATTTCATATGCATTTCTTGCACAATATATTACGTTAAGATTTTATATATTCTTTTTCTCTTTTCTGCATTGCATCTCTAGCTTGATTCCTTGTAATAAACCCTTTGTTCTATTGCAAATCCTATGTAACATTGTTGGCTCTGTGACACATTGCATGTTATTTTCTAGTCTAGAAAATCATCATGATGTCCTGCTACAGCCCTGTCCCAAGACAACCTCCACGGCTATGAACTCGACTAGTAAGCAAAACTTCAATCATACTGTTCAAAATTTTGGGGTCTGTAGGATTTATGCTTTTTAATGAAGTCTCACACTCATTAACCTCAGTTTTTTTTTCAGTGATATTGTCCTTGAGAAGCCTGTAGGCTAAATAATAGCTGGCAAAATAATATAATGTTATAATGGTCATAAGTTATAATAATTAAACTATTATGATAACAGGATATCATGGTCATTGGTATATTCTATAGGTGTGTTTTTAATTATGTTGGCCAATGAGACACCATACTGTCCAGCGCTAAGGTATTTATTTATTTTCATGTAATTTTTTTTAATGATAAATACTAAAGTTCTTTTAACTTTTTAATGCTGAATTCAGGGGGTCGACAACTTTAGTTATTTTTCTTTAAGTCTAAGTTTTTCTTTTCTTTCTTTTCTTTAAGTTTTTCTTTAAGTTATTTTTCACAGATATCTGGCCAGTTTACTCATGGCTCATATTCTTAGCCTTTAAATGTTTGAATTTAAATCCACAATGCAATATCAGGGGGTGAAGATATCATTAGAGTTTCTAAAGTTACTATGCTCTTGTTACCAGATGAGATATCATTTGACCCTGTGATTCTTCAGGACCAGATCTTGATGCCATCCACACCCAGTACATGACAAAGGTGAGTTTCACAATAGCTGCCACTACCACAAACCAAGAGACCGAACACAACAGGCCTTCATCCATAAGAACTCACCCATACGTTGGTATAGTAACCAAAACCCGGTATTAAACATTAAACGGGCCCTGGGGCCAAATTAAAGGAAAACTCCGGTCAATTTTAACATTGAGCTATTTTTTTTTGTACATTTGGAGTGCTGTCAGTACAGACAAAAATTGGTGTTGCCTACACTGTGTTATCATCTTTTTAAAATTTGCACCCTGCTGACTTCAATGGGGCATGGTCTAAACCTGCTTTTAGCCTCTTAACATCCTTGATTTGTCATTACGAGTGTACAGCCATGTGAGTGGTGTTATTAAGAGTGACCACGGTCAATCTGACTGCAGTAGATATGAAAGATATTAATAAAAATGATGTTAATTCAGCCAGCGCACATACCTCTATTTGCTTCCTGTTTTCTGTCGATGCCCACAGTAGTCGATTGTCGATCTCACACGTGAGTTCATTTATATCGTCTCAAACCTACCACTGTGTGGTGTTCTGAGAATATCAGCTCAAATGGATAGTTCATCCGAATCAGATGTTGAACACACAGAGGTTTGAGATGATATTCACTTATGATCGCGCGCGTGAACTCGACAATCGACTACTGTGGGCTTCGCCCGAAAACAGGAAGCAAATAGAGGTATGTGCGCTGGCTGAATTAACATAATTTTTATTAATATCTTTCATATCTATTAACCATGGTCACTCTTAATAACACCACTCACATAGCTGTGCACTTGTAATGACAAATCATTACGAGTACAAAAAAAAATAATTACAAGCTTTTTTTAAGGAAGACCGCAGTATCGATAAGCCCAGGTGTTATCAGTTCTGTCTTGCAAATTCTGTGAGGATTAGGAGGGGTATTTTAAACAGTCTTCATACAACATGTTTTTCAGGCTGGTGGTTGTTTGTAATTTTAAATTTAAATTTTAATAAGTAGGGAGAAAATAAAAACCTTTATTGAACATTTATTAAACGCATGTTAATGTTTTCTAAATGATTAGTTAATCATTAACTAAACAATTGTAAATTATTTATAACTGAATCTACAAAACATACAATAATTAACATCACTTAAACATTTATGAAATGCATAATCATGTTTCATAAAAAATAAGTTAATCATTTACTAATCACTTGTAAATGACTTGTAACAGAATTAACAAAACATACATAAAATGTTAGTATATCAATTGCTAATCATTTATGAATGTTTTGTAAAAGCTTAGTTCATCATTAACCAACCAAAATGACTTACAACTAAATGTTATTATAAACCGCAGCTCTCTCATTGACCTATTCAGTCATTCTCTTAGTTGAGCATTTATAAATAGCACCTGGAACAATCAGAAGACATTTCCTCATTCAAAGTGCAGGTTGAAAACTTTCTTAGGTTGAAATGGCTCAACAGTACAACCCTTATTTTGTTTTTAACATTTGTATTTCAATTGATCCTTTCTCACTTAGATGCTGTGACAAAAAGCAGTCAAGCCACTGCATGTGATGTGGAAGCCTCTATGAAGACATGGCTCCGTAATCCCTGGGACAGAGATGGGGACGGCAAGGAAGGGCCAGAACTGCAGAAATACCTACTGTTTCCCCTGAGGGGATTGATTTTTAATTTTCAATCCCCTGTTTTCTGTGGTTATTGCCGTTTAAACTGTATTATCATTAATTATAATTATTATTAAATATAAATAAATTATTTGGGGAAAAAAACATGACCCTCGATTTATTGCTGCTAACAAGTGCGATTGTACTGCATATAGTAATATGGGTGTACCTACTCTGTGTGCTGAAACTTTGCAACTGCACCCACAGTGTGCCCACATCCAGCCTGCTATAATTTGTGTGGGCCAGCCCAAAGTCAGCCCACACTTTGGGCTGGCCCACGGTAAGTAGAGTGGGCCCCGATTGGAGCCAGTTGTGGGCCCACAGCAAACCCTTATAGGGGCCCATTTGGGGCCATTGCAGGCAGCCCACTGTGGGCCCACAACTGGCCCCAATGGGGGCCCACTCTACTTACCGTGGGCCTGCCCATATTCAGCCCACACTTTTGGGCTGTCCCACTGGGGCCCCACCTGGGTCCCGAAGTGTGGGGCCCACACGTGCCCCGCATTTCACGCCGGTATCTGGGCCCACAGTGGGCTGCCCACAATGGCCCCACATGGGCCCCTATAAGGGTTTGTCGTGGGCCCACAACTGGCCCCAATGGGGTCCACTCTACTTACTGTGGGCCTGCCCACAGTCAGCCCACACTTGTGGGCTGTCCCACTGGGGCCCCACCTGGGTCCCGAAGTGTGGGGCCCACACGTGCCCCGCATTTCACGCCGGTATCTGGGCCCACAGTGGGCTGCCCGCAATGGCCCCACATCGGCCCCTATAAGGGTTTACCGTGGGCCCCCAACTGGCCCCAATGGGGTCCACTCTACTTACTGTGGGCCTGCCCACAGTCAGCCCACACTTGTGGGCTGTCCCACTGGGGCCCCACCTGGGTCCCGAAGTGTGGGGCCCACACGTGCCCCGCATTTCACGCCGGTATCTGGGCCCACAGTGGGCTGCCCGCAAGGGCCCCATTCGGGCCCCAAAGAAGCTTGTTTGCTGGGTGGACGCTGCTATCTGCATATTTTGACTTAGTTTCTGCATAAAAATAAGTTTTGATTACATTACTAGCGAGAAATATATATTTCATTTTCATCCACTCAGTGAATGTACATAATCACCTGTTTGCTCGTTATTGCGAATATCTTCCAGATCTCGCCAGAATAATGTGAAACTGAAACGTTTTGGTTCCATGGACCCTGCTATCGGCATATTTTATCTTAGTTTCTGCATAAAAATAAGTTTTGATTACATTTCTAGCGAGAAATATAAATATATAAAATTCATCCACTCAGTGAATGTACATCACTTGCTTGCTAGTTGTTGCGATAGTTTTCAGATCTCGACAGAATGTGAAACTGAAACGTTTTGGTTGTTAGGATGCTGCTATCGCCATATTTTTAGTTAGTTTCTGCATGAAAATAAGTTTTGATTACATTTCTAGAGAGAAACATATTTTATTTTCATAATATTTAGTCATTGAATGTAATCACTCACTTGCTCGTTGTTGCTTAGAATGTTTAGATCTCGCCAGAATAATGTGAAACTGAAACGTTTTGGTTGAGTCACGTGACTTGGGGAGGATGGGGAGAGGGTAGTTTGTATGGGGAGAGGATGGGGAGAGGGTAGTCTGGAAGGATGGGGAGAGGGTAGTTTGTAGAGTTTCTGGATCAAGTTCACAGCAGGTGGTGGCAACGCGCTATCTATCTATCTATCTATCTATCTATCTATCTATCTATCTATCTATCTATCTATCTATCTATCTATCTATCTATCTATCTGTGTGAAGGAGAGAGTTGATCTGTCAAGCTTTTTACAAACACAGCATGTGTTCTCTGGTTTTCTACAAAGTGGGAGACTTTCAGGCTTTTGAAAAAAAGATTTCAGGCAACTTTAAGGCTTTTGAAAAAGTATTTTAATATACTGTATAACAACATAAACAACAATGGAATTGAACATTTTCTTAATTCTTGGTGTTCTCCTCCGTCACCCACTGTGTCGGCCAAGTTTTCCCACTGTAATTAAAAGAGATTGTTATTAATTTAGGTCTTTACATCAGCCATGAATTTAATTCAAAACAATCATGACAAGGTTAAGGGCAATGAGGAGCAGCAAGCCACCCATTCATTCAGTAGGTTTATAAAATTACAGTAGCCTGATAACAGTCAATTGCCTGCCTATGGTAATATTTTGGTTAAGGTTTGAATCTGCATTACCTACGGTGTAGCCATTAAGACCATTTCACAAGATGTAAACAACACTGGTCCAGAAGCACTTCCTGTTTCAGTTTTTTAACACTACAAAAAAGCTGGGATAAAATACAACCAACAGAACATTTAAAACTGAATCAAAAAGTTAAACAAACATCTTTAAGATGTTTTCTTTACATGTGAAATAAAGAAAACAGTTACAAACTGAAACAGGAAGTGCTTCTGGACCAGTCTTGTTTACATCTTGTGAAATGGTCTATACCTCTGCTCTGAAGGTATCCATTGTAAAAGACCTCTGCAATTTGCTGCACAATAATTGTCTTGAAAATGTAGTCATGAAAGACCTCTCAAGTCTTTGGACTTTTGTAAATGCCTTTAACCAATGTGTGTTACTTTATGTCAACACAATGTCAACATCTAATCAAAATTCAATGTAATAAAAAAAAGGAAATCCTGGCTCAGAATAAATTGGTGATTATGTCCAACATATGTCTCTCCATTATCATCAGTCAGGTTTTTCTGCCTTAAGCAATACATAACTGATAAAATACACAAACTGTAAAACATGAACTAAAAGCTCAGTACCAAAAATTGTCCGCCCTCTCATGGACCTGATGTGATAGCACATTTTGATAAGTGAAACTCAGTCTCAGTTAGTTTTTTTTTTTTTTTCATAGTAGATCTGTTCCCTTGTGCTGTTTAGCGTGTATGTTTAAACTTTATGCAGCATGCGACATATCATTATTTAGTTTGATTCTAAACAATTAATCCATCCAGTTAGTCTCATGTTACCCACATGCACCAAATTATAATTCATTTATATTTGAACAAGAGCTTTGCACAAAATAAATTAAAGGCAAGCCACATATAGATGACTATCCCAAATTCAACCTGTTCAGTTAAGTGGCTGAAGCAATTATGGATGTTAAATGGACTTGCACTTTTATTGCGCTTTTAGACTTTCTGGGACCTCTCAAAGTACTTTTACAATGTTCCTCACTACCACCCTTTTACACACACATTCATACAGAACTGTTTGCAGACAGGCTTTGGAGATTGGATTCCCACATATTCACACACCCAATGACACACTGGGGGGAAAGTGTGGGTTCAGTGTCTTGCCCAAGGACACTTTGACACACTGTGCCACAGCCGCCCACAAATACAAGCCAAGGCTATTACTTTGTTTTGAAGTACTAAGAATTAGGCTATTCCAATCAAAATGGAATATATGATAAATTGTACATACCAAAGTGAACAGGGCTCCCATTCCACTAACTTCATTTGGATCCCCTGTAAAAACATCAAAGTTGGGAGTTAAGGGGTTTCCAGATGTGGTGCTGCAATTCTACCGAGTACAGAGTACATCTATAACTTTTATAAATTACTCTAAAGCTAACCTTTTGCATTTTGCAGCGGATCACCCTCTTCACTGGGTAGTAAGGCTCCTTTTCTAGGATTCCATGGTTACAATCTGAAGAAAAAAAAAAGAACATGAGCAAAAAAAGTAAATGAGTTTGACCTCATACATCATCAATATATATATAAAAAAAATTGACAGGCTACACATGATATATTTATGACCTGGCTGGAAGTGAAGTATATCTGGCTAAGGCAAAAGAATCACTGTATTTGAAGTCTGATTTGAAATGGTGAGATGTAAAACTACTAAAGCTTAATAACCTTTGGTTGATTGTATCCCCCTCAGTTTCTTCCTTTTAGACATGTCTGAGGCTGCAGAATTCTTCTGCTTCTTTCTGTTGTTTGCAGACATATCTGTTGAGATTAAGGAAATGTATCTGTTATTACAATGAATACTGGTCTAAATACCTTTATTCCAATAACAAATATATAATGTCACATTACAATTGGAAAGATATTTGCAGGCCAGGGTACTCATTGAAATACATGGACACTGTTCAACCATATGCTGTATGGTCACTTATTCACTCTACTAAGGGTTATACTAAGGGTTATAGAAAGATGTACAAACAGGTGATCAATTCAAGGAAAAGCCTGGAAGATGAGGGGAAAAACAACGAATGTAGTTCCTCCTACACATATCACCTTTGTCCTGTAATTTTAATATTGATGGGAGATGTGTCTTCAAGACTGATAATGCTTCAATTCACAGGGCACAGGGTCTCACAAAATGATTTACTAAGTATGAAGATTCTGTCAATCTGATTCAATAGGTTTTACAAACCCAAATCCAATTAAGCTGGGTCAACTGTAAAACAAAAATAAAAACATAATACAACGATTTTCAACAGGATCTAGACTGGGAATGTTTGGAACATTCCACAGGTGAACAGGTTCATTAAAAACATGTGAGTGTCATGATTGGGCATTAAAGGGGCATCCCAGGATTCATTCACAAGCAAGTCATCCTTGGTTGTGAATGACTGAGTCTTCTGGGGATGCTATGTGATGCTGGGAATCACAACTATAAAGGATATTACTGTAACATGGGCTCAGGAACACCTTGGAAAACAATTGTCAGTTAACACAGTTTGTCGCTACTACAAGTACTATGAGTGCTGTACACATTTAAAATAGTTTATGGAAATCATCGACGTTGTGTTCCTCGGATAAAAAGGAAAAGGACCTCCCAGATTGTTTTCAGTGCTAAGTTCAAAAGCCATGGGGGTGTGTTAGTGTCCATGGCATACCCATGCACCATGACATTCAAAATGAGTGTATCTTTGCAAACAAACAATAAAGCTTTTCAGTTTGAACATTAAACATCTTGTCTTCGTTGTATATTCATTGAATATAGGAACTTCACTGGAATAGGGGTTTGTATGATCCTCAGGGGCCAAATTTAGACTGAAGTGAATTCTATACAGCTAAGAATGAGGCACCAAACACCTGCAGTAGACTTTGGATGTGCAACCGTGCTCTCCATCATCATCAGTTCCTGCACAGATTGAAACTGTTCTGGTTGCACATTGTGGCCGATACCACCTTAGAAATTCACTTGCTAAAAGTTTTTGCTTCAAAATCTGTCAATCATCCTGTTAGAATTTTTAAACGTTATATGTTCTTATTACAACATTTTAGATGTAAGGAAAAAATCCCTATTATCTCTAGCATTGGCTACTAGACCTCCAGGGCCTTACGCCGACTTCTTAAAAGAGTTTGCAGACTTTCAGATCAGATCTATTGGTCAACGTTGATAAAGCATTAATTGTTGGAGATTTTAACATTCACGTAGATAATTCAAATGATGCGTTAGGGGTTGCGTTCACAGATTTATTAAACTCCTTCAGGGTCAAGCAAAACGTCACCGGACCAACTCATCGTCTTAATCATACACTTGATTTAATTTTTATATCATATGGAACTGATCCAACCGATATAGATATCATTCCTCAAAGTGACGATGTCACTGACCATTACATGGTTACTTGCATATTACGTACTGCTGTAATATGACATGCTGCGCCACATTATCGACCAAGTAGAACAATTCTTCCATCCACCAGATCATTTCTCAAATAGCTTATCTGATCTGACTCAGCTGCTGCCTGAACCCAAACAAACAGATGAACTAGACAAACTAACTAGCACTATGAGCTCCATTCTCTCTAGAACATTGGATATTGTTGCACCCATTAGATTAAAAAAGGTCAGAGAAAAAAGTATAGCAACATGGTACAATAATACTACGTATGTTTTAAAGAGAGAAACCCGTAATTTAGAGTGTAAATGGAAACAAACTAATTTAGAGGTCTTTAGAATCGCGTGGAAAGACAGTATGTCACGTTATAAAAAGGCCCTTAAAACGGCCAGGGCTGTGCACCTCAGCAAACTAATAGAAAACAACCAAAATAATCCAAGGTTTTTATTTAACACCGTGGCTAGACTAACAAATAAAAAGACGACACCTGAACAAAATATCCCTTTACAGTTTAGTAGTAATGATTTCATGAACTTCTCCACCGAGAAAATTGAAAGCAACAGAATAACAATCGTAAACTCTCAATCTCTGCTGCTTGCGCCTTATAATTCAGCCGCAATTATCACCCCGCAAGAACAATTACAATGCTTTACAACCATAGAACAAAAAGAGTTAAATAAACTTATCACTTCATCTAAAACAACAACATGTTTAGATCCTATACCAACTAAACTATTGAAAGAAGTGTTACCTATAGTGGAAGAGCCTCTTCTTAATATTATTAACTCATCTTTATCTTTAGGTTCCAAGAATGTTCAAGCTGGCAGTTATAAAACCTCTTATTAAGAAACCACAATTAGATCCAAATAACCTAGCAAATTACAGACCCATCTCAAATCTTCCATTTATGTCAAAAATATTAGAAAAAGTTGTGTCCGCTCAACTCGGCTCTTTCTTGCAAGAAAACGACATCTATGAAAAGTTTCAGTCTGGATTCAAGCCACATCATAACACTGAAACTGCGCTTGTTAGAATCACAAATGATTTCATTCTAGCTTCGGACCAAGGCTGTATCTCAATACTAGTTTTACTTGATCTTAGTGCTGCGTTCGATACTATAGATCACACAATACTCTTAGATCGACTACAGAATTACACTGGTGTTCAAGGACAAGCATTAAGCTGGTTCAGGTCATACTTATCTGACCGCTACCATTTCGTCTACTTAAATGGAGAAAAATCGATCATAACTTCGGCAAACTATGGAGTGCCGCAGGGATCTGTGTTAAGCCCTTTATTATTCTCAATATATATGCTGCCACTAGGTAATATTATTAGGAAACATGGAATTAGTTTCCATTGTTATGCTGATGACACTCAAATATATATTTCATCACAGCCAGATGAATACGCTAAATTATCCAACTATCCAAATATCCAAATTTTGTTATATAAAAGATTGGGTGACGCGTAATTTTCTTTTATTAAATCCAGACAAGACAGAGGTAATACTTATCGGTTCCAAAAACCATCCACAAAACCTTTCGCAGCACGACTTTAACATATTAGGATGCCCTGTTACTTTATCCGCTACAGTAAAAGACCTGGGTGTTATATTATTTCACATTTCATATGTTACAAAAACAGCCTTTTTCCACCTTAGAAACATTGCTAAGCTATGTAACATGCTTTCTGTCTCTGATGCAGAAAAGTTAGTTCATGCATTCATGACCTCGAGACTAGATTACTGTAATGCTTTATTAGCTGGTTGTCCTGCATCCTCAATAAACAAGCTACAGTTAGTCCAAAATGCAGCTGCTAGAGTTCTTACTAGATCAAGAAAGTATGATCATATAACACCGATTCTATCATCACTTCATTGGTTACCTATAAAGTTCCGTATTAATTACAAGGTATTGCTTTTGACTTAGCTCTAAATGGTTTAGCTCCAGTCTATTTAGCAGATCTTCTAGCGCCCTACAATCCATCGCACTGTTTAAGATCACTAAATTCGAGGCTTCTGGTCATTACTAGGATATCCAGGTCTACCAAAGGAGGGAGAGCATTTTCACATTTAGCTCCGAAGCTCTGGAATAGCCTTCCTGATATGGTTTGTTGCTCAGACTCGCTCTCCCAGTTTAAAACTAGACTAAAGACGCATTTATTTAGCCTGGCATTCATATACATTTTTTTATCTTAGAGTTACTGTAAATTTGGCCTCTAGTTCATATATAAACACCAGAGGAGAACTGGCCCCCAACTGAGCCTGGATTCTCCCAAGTTTTTTTTTTTTTCTCCATGGGGTCATCTGATGGAGTTTTAGGACAGCCATCAGGTCACTTGATGGAGTTTTTCAGTTCCTTGGCACTGTTGCCTTTGGCTTGCTCAGTTGGGGATATTCAAATTAAATGACCCATCAATCCATTGATCAGCTCTACCAAACTTGATTGTCTTTTTTCATGAATAAACAAACACTGTTGTCTTGATTGATACTGTGAAGCAGCTTTGAAACAATCTGTATTGTGAAAAGCACTACATAAATATATTTGACTTGACATACATCATCATTATTTATCATACCTACAATAGAGGTTTCATTGAGCTTTATCCAGCAATGCGTGTTCTGTTGTGCCGTCTACTCGGTCCAGCCCATTATCAGCTGTCAATCAAAGTTAACCACACCCTTATTTGGCATACATTTCATATCTAATTACGATCTAAACTAACAAGTAAAAAAAAAAATTAAATAAGTTTTAAAATTTTTAAACAAGTGTGAGCAATTTTGAGTTGCTGTGTGCAAATGAGAACACAAATTGAAAGTTAATGTTTGCCTGCCCAGGTTTAGCATTTTGAAATACAAACAACACACTGCAAAATTTGTAATGGCTTCCGTGAAGTATGCATTTATTCCTAAAGATATTAACAAACACAATTCCCTATAACCATTAGTTTTTCTTCTAGAATATAAAGTAAAGTATATGGGTTTATCTAAAGTCCTTTTCAGGCAAGCCATTGCACTCAGTAATCTTTGAAACACCTCTTGGGGAGCTATTTCAGTTATACAAGTACAGCCATACAACTATGCATTTCATTAGATTTGTGTATTTTATACTAAGATATATAGGCCTGACAGTATCAGCATAAGTGAAAACTCCTTGATTCTTCCAAGGGAAGCACATACTGGTGGAAAACAATGATAGTAAATGCTAGTTTACATCCTAGTAATGTGAGGCAAGTGCTTCTCTGTGACTGTATAGTAAAGAAGATGCAAAAGTAAATGCACAATAAACTTGGTGTTTGTGAATGTCACTTTACAAATATCTGCAACTTCAAATAAAAACCCATCTATTTAATTATTTGTGCAAATCAAAACATGCAGCTTGTCACATAATATCTGCAAGTTTAAATTACCACTTTGAAAAAGTATTTCAAACCAAGACACTACAATCCATAGATATAAAAAAATGTGCAGAAGCCAGACTGACAGAACAGAACTACTTTTATTTACCATAGAGAACTTAAACTCACAAAAACTTAATTTCTGCTCTCAGTAGTCCAATAACAAAATCTGTACTTCCGAGTACTAACATTAAACAAAACATCATTTTCAAACTGAGTGCATGTCAGCACAGTATTTAAAAAAAAAGTGTGTGGGGGTTTATTTTTTTTGATCAACCACCTTTGGAGTCGCCCGAATACTGAAAAGATCTCGCAGATTTACTTCAGGATCAATGTGGTGTGGGATTTTGCGCTCATTAAACAGGCCCGTCAGATCAGCTTCCAGTTTGGCCCTCTGAGTGATGTTCATGCGCAATGAAAAGAGAGAGTGAAGGTCTTCAACCAGAGGACGTCGATTTCGCCCTTCCAATCGTTTCTGCCAACTCTTACTGCTCCGCTTATGTGGATGCTAAATAAGAATACAAGCGTTACAGAGATGGTGGCGTTTTATATAAAAAGAAACCAACATTAAACTTGATTTGTTAATGTGGTAATGTATAGCATGTCATAGCTCAAGCAGCTTTCAACCCATCATACTCTTAAGGGATAGACCTACCTTGAGTTTGACCACATCAGGTTCATGATGTAACATGTGGCGGACGAGGCTTTCCTGTTGAAAAAGCACAGATAAGAGTTACGAACACATTATAGAACATGAGTTAAGAGTAAAAACTAGTGCTGTCAATTGATCAATTTAAAACACTTTTGTAATTAATCATAATTAATCCACTCCTAACATTGTTTTTAATATACTTCTATATTGTAATTTCACATTTAAAGGTGCCCTCTGTAAAAATTGAGGTTAAAATATCCCAAAAATGAGCTACACACACCAAAAGAACAAGAAATAAGGTTGATTGGTTTTTTTTTTTTTTTTTTTTTTTTTTTAATGACAAGTAAATTAGCATGCTAAATTACTAGCCCCGGCCCGGCAGGTGTCGTAATACCAGTTTCGGCCAAGGGAGGCTGTATGCGGGCTGGCAACATAACCACCAGCCAAACTGCAATACACGAGTAACACGCACGGCTTGTGTGTACTTGAACCATGTCAGTCGTGTGGAAAATACAGCCCACTACAACATTTCAGTTCAGGGAAGAGTTAAAAAAATTATTGGTTGATATTATGCTTGAGGAATACATTTTGGTAAGTTGTAACATACTGTACCTTTCAACAGTGTTCGTGTTCTTTTACCATTAGCAGCTAGCTAGTAGAGATGATCGGTTCACATGTGCTAGGGATTGGTCGTGTAACATTTACAAGCGCCAAAACTGCATTTATTGTTTGAATTGCATAATAAAATTAACAAAATCTGAGAGCTGAGATCGGTCTCCGTGTCCTTTTCTGTGCATTACAAAATTGATGTGTGGCGTGAGAGTGTGTGAAAAGTGTCAATTGTGAGTCTCGCTGTGAATTTGTGAGAGTTGGCAGCTCTGAAAGGCGCTAGCTTGGTCCACATCTGGGAATGCTGTCTGTCAAATTAATTCAAAATAATGATAAAACTACCATAAAACTAGAAATAATAGCATGGGCTTTAATTTTCCCATATCGTCGAAATGCACCGGCTTGTCTATGAGACGGCCTTTATAATTTAGTATTGAGATGTTGTTCATGGAGTCTGTAATCTCTAAAAATCTCCAAATGCTCCACGTGAAACTGCGGTCTTCCAAACTTTTACTATCGTGCCAAATGATTTGATTAATATGCGCGAGCTCGGGAGAGAGAGCAACACAGTGCTCGCTCGTGTTGTTTGAAGACATGAGTGCGTGCGGCCGCGGAGGTATTTCTGGAAGATTTTTACCTCAATTTTATCCATTAAGTATAGCATTAGAGGTGTAACGGTTCAAAATTAGACACGTCTTTTTTATAGTGTACTTTTTACAATAGCTTTCAAAGCAGCTTTACAGAGATGACCAGAAAATGCACATTGCAGTGCTACCGGGTTCTACATCAAAATGCCACCTCACTATTCAACAAAGACCTTGAAGGTCTAACAGGTCGGATATGTACAGAAATTGAATAAAGTTAAACACGTCACAGTCTTCAGTGAATAAACCATAAACGGAATAGATTAATCCATCTTAAAGCTCCATAAAGTTATTCTGTCAAGAGAATTGAGTTTGTTCAACTGGATAGGCTAATAAACCTTAAAACATAATACCTAAATCATTGAATCTTGTATGCTACTAATACGGCTCCCTAACACACACCTACAATTCAACTTCTTGTTCTGACTGTCAAATGGTGCAACCAAACCTCACAGCAACAACTTATTGTCTGTTTGCTTGTTACTCATAGTACGCGTCTTTAGATTAAATAAGTGTGAAACTAAGAACATTATGCTGGACACTTTCTATTTTTAAAATCGAAAAAAGTGCACCTTCGATAAACACCATTTTATTGCCCAGGCTGCGTTAAATATTTAAAAAAAAAAAAAAAAAACATTAAACTGAAAAAATGTATTGCATGCATTAACACCACTTGTAAAACCAAACTTTGCTACAGATTCAATTTTGTCTTCATATTAGTTTCCAATGCTGGCCCTGGGAACCCCCTTTAAGGGAAGAGATGAAAAAAAAAAAAAAAAGAGTGCAGAGTAGTGAGTTTCAGGTAAATTTCTTTACAAATAGGAGTATTTCAACTATATCGACATGTGATAGTCTTTTTGAAGAAATTGTAACTACTACTCTAATTGACACCACAAGACCATTCTACCATCCCTACCACATTCCTCAATGTACTCACACGCATGGCAAAAGTCTTGCTGCAGCCAGGGAAGGAACAACGGTGTGAGAGCAGCTGCAGATGAACCTTTCGAATATGGTGCTGCAGATTGAAGGTTGTGGAAAAGTATGCCTGGCAACCTTGACTGGGACATACCAAAACTGGTTTCTGCAAGGCATGAGTCCGCTTGTGCCTCCTCAAGGCATCACGTTTTCGGAAGGCCTTTTGACATACCATACAGCAGAATGATGCTGTTGACAAAATTATATGACTTGAGCTTTCGTGTAACCCATTACAGGCACAAGGAGAATGCATAGCACTCATGGGAACTGGAAAGGTACTGGCAGATAACATTTAATAAATTAAGTTCTCACTGGTTTACCTGGGTGACTCGCCATGTGTTTCCGTAAATTAGTCCAGTTGTGCACACTGATGGGGCATTCAGCATAAAGACAGCGATAACCTGAAGAAACAGTTACTGGGTGGCCATTGTCAAACCAGTTCGAATTAGTGGTTATTAAGTGGTGGAATTAAGTGGTCTCTTTCTGCTATTTGTTTTATAGCAAGTATTAGCAGAGGTGTTTGAGTGATACTTCATTACAATACCAATAGAGTAACCTGATATTGAAAATTCTATTTAAGTTTAACAACCTTTAAAAGGCTGCACACTGCCAAAATTGAATAGTGGGTAAGAGTTTTTGGGTTTGGGCCAACTAGGTCTTGATTCAGAGAAAATGGATGGCATAACCCATCATGGTCTATTCAATAAAACGCCATTTCCAATATTGCCAAGTTCCAGTATTGCAAAGTTTGCAGTATGGGTGAGCGGGGCACAACCTAACACGGGGCTAGTGGTGACACCGTTGAAATACTTTCATACATGCTAGCATTCTGAAACATAGTGCATTTACTAGTTTACATTTCAATACTATAGAGACAAATTAAATTCAAAAACTTTGGAAGATCTCACTTGACATTTAACCAGAGCAAAAGTAAATGTTAATGTTATCTATGTTGTGTTTTCAAATTAGACTAATCTGATCATTTAATTTAATGATATTTTAACAGTTGCAATTTAATGCTTTGCCAACTAGCAGAAGACACTAACAAGGTTTAAATAAGTTGTGTAGGTAAAACTATTATACTATCATGCTATTCTATTGAGACCATAAAAAAGCAAATAAAGAGTCAATGTTCAGAAATTATTAATTATGTTTTTAACTATGCTGTAGCCCAGGGGTGCCCAATCCTGCTAATTTCACACTTCAACTATAATTGTTTCATTAATACAGCGTATACTTTTCCCCCCGGATTTCTCTTTTGTTTACCCTGAAAATTTAAGTACAATGTGACATGCACATTAATAAAAAAAAGACTAAAATTTAATAAAATGCAATTAACTTTAAATACAAAATAACAGCTTTAATTACATTAACTTTGAATTTAACAAACACCAGAAAACACAGTTATAGGCTACAGTAGAGGTGCCCAATCCTGCACAGATCTCCAACCCTAATCAAACACCAAAAAGATTATTTAAAAAAAAGCTGTTATTTTGTATGAAAAACTTATTTAAAGTCTATTATATTTATTGTCACATTTCACTTATTTTTTTCAGGGTAAAGAAGAAGAAAAAAAAGTATACACTATTATTGTAAGGACAACTGAGAAAATGCAGGGGAAGTGTAAATACTTCAAACCCAAAGTTTACACTGAGAAAGTCAAAAAGCGTTGTGAGTGATTAGGTCTCCCCAATCTCAGGACCTCCAATTTTAGATGCCTGGGAGTTGAGAAGCTTGTACAGAAAAGTAACAGAATATTCCCTCCAGTGCACTTTACATTTGTCTCATTTATATAATTAACTTGAAAGTACACTTAACATTGAAGAATCAAGTAAATCAAAAATGGTTATTCAGTAAATGCCAATAAAATGAACATTTAAAGAATTGATGAATCCTCACCTGTGTGTCTTCTATGATGAGCTTTCCGCGCAACGTGAGACTTAAACCTCATTCCACAGCCGCTTTTCGAGCATCTTGTGCAAAACAAAAATTTCCTCCATATTTTACCTTCAGCTGTCAAAGTTCTAAAGCATTATACAAATCTCTTATGCTACATACGCACCTGAAACTTGAAGTACCGTGCGTCGCCAGGTGCAGTTTTAACGCTCGTCTTTTCCTGAACATCTTTGTGCACTGACGTTCTTTACACTGGGGAGGAAGACTTCATTTTGATAAGCTTTACTTGTGTCGCAAACAGCAAAATGCGTCAAGAGCCAGTAACGTTAAATTGGTGGGAAGGGAAAAATGGAAGTCAAACCTGGAAGTAATCGCGTTTTTCGCTGTGCGCGTAACGCACGTGCCTCTTAAGTTTATCTGCGGCGTAGAAGCTTTTGCCACATGCAGCGGCAGTGCACCTGCTCAATGATAAACGTTTTCAAATCACTAAAACAAAGAAAATAATGTCTTACGGGCTTACACATTAAGAACCTTCATTCTAAACTGGCCACATTTTCTTGCTCATCATGTCATAGCTATTTAAGCGTTTTGTGGTCGACTTAAAAGAATTCCCTAGCAATTTTCACATGACTAAAGTAGCCCACAGATAATAAACCTCAATTAATACAATGCCATAACCTCAAAATTAAGAATTTTGAAAAATGTTAAAACAAAACAGAAGTCACCCACGCAGTGCTGAGACTAAAGTAGCATGTGCCTAAAACAGGTCTAACGGTAGGACACCGCGGACAAATATACAAAATTCTCTAGCCTATTTTAAACTGATCACATTTAATAACCCAATTTTGCCTACTTGAAGTTTTTCTCGCTGCTGTGGACCGAAACGTGCCGAGTCAGATGCGACTTACGGGTGAAGCTGCGTCCACATTCCACAAATGCACACTTGTGAGGTCGCTAAAGGAACAAAACAAAAAACAAAAACAAAAAACAAAAGGATATGATCATAGAAAGTTAGAATCATTAATACGCGTTTTTTAAACACTTAATGTATTACAACTCACCGCACCAGTGTGCACAGTCTCGTGCTCCAGCAGACGCCATTGTCGAGTGAATGTCGCGCCACATTCAGCATAAGAGCAGTTAAACAACTGCAGTCGCGGCACAGTATCCTCTTTCTTAACTAGGCCTACCTGTGGGTTCATGATTTTCCAAACGTCCTAACAGCTACCAATGCGTTTTTATTGTGATTTTTTTTTACGTTGTGCTCGAATTATTAATTGCTTGATGACCGTGTCGGCTTCACTCATGCCACCTGCATGTAGTTGCGCTAATGACGTTTGCCAATAATAAGAGAGTTAATGAGAGCACAGCCGAGGATTGTTCCATGAAGGCCGTTTATAAAAGCGGGGATTAAAGTCGAACACCTGACTTGAATGAACCGAATTAATCAGTGGCGCTTAGATCGGTTGCATGACGATAAGATCTAAACGTGTTACCAGATGTTTATTATACGAGGAAGAGAATACGAGAATAAAATGCTAAAATTATATGAATCTTCTTTTGAGAAAGTGTCAAGTGTCAACATTGTATTGTTCGAATTAGGTGGCAATTCCCAGGTGAAAAGGAAATATATTTAAACTATGCTAGTGTAGCTCCATATTAAGTATGTATCAAATGTGCTAAATTGAAACAACTTCAAGTATATTAAGTGTACTTTAATATGTATTTAAGTTCAATTTTAAGGTAATTGTAATATATTTTATTATACTTAATTGTGTTAAAATGGAACCAATTTAAGTACTTTTAGTGTAATGTAATATAATAGCACTTCTTTAAAGTGTATTTTTAATACACTTTAAATCGACTTTAGAAATACAGCATTAGTATATTTTTAGCTTGTTCCGAGTATATTTTAAATATAATTTCAGCTTATTAATAATGTATTAGTAGAACACTATAGGACCCACTATTGACATAGTAAAAATATATATTTTTCCAAAAACCATTTAATATGAAAATAATATATTAAAAATACAGTTAAACATTTTAATTCAATAAAACCCAGTAAAAATTATTTCTACAAAACACACAAACACTCTTTGAAAGATAAACTTTAATGCACTACATCAGTACAGCATTATGAAAACTAAACAAAATACATTAACATAAAATGCATTGATTTGCAGATGTATTAAACAGAACAAAAATAAATAAATAAACTAACTGCAAGGAGTAACTTTTAAAAAAACTTTGTTGATAATTTACTCACCCCCATGTCATCCAATATGTCATGTCTTTCTTTTTTCAGTCGAAAAGGAATTGAGGTTTATGATAAACATTCCAGGATTTTTCTACATATAATGGACTTCACTGGGAACCAAACGGTTCAAGATCCAATGGCTAACAGTGTTGCGATAGACACGCAAGGTCTTTCGCTTGCTTACCTCTGCCGTCGTGCGCGGTTAGGACCATGCCGTTAGGAGCTCAACATCTGTCTCGCATGCACGCTTGATGAACGAGTTCAAATAGGAGAGTCACGAACGCATATCACAGAACAGAGCAAGGCGAGCATTTGAGCTTATAAAACTTAAGGGTTATAGTTCACCCAAAAATGAAAATTCTGTCAGTATTTTTCTGTCAGTATTGTGCTAATGTTACGCTCTTAGATGTAAGAAAAAAATCCATATTGGCTACGGTTTATAGACCTCCAGGGCCATGCTGAATTCCTAAAAGAGTTTGCAGACTTTCTCTCGGATCTATTGGTGAATGTCGATAAAGCAATAATTGTTGGAGATTTTAACATACACAATACAAATGATGTGTTAGGGGCTGTGTTTACAGATTTATTAAACTCCTTTGGGGTCAAACAAAAGGTCAGTGGTCCCACTTATCGTCTAAATCATACACTAGATTTAATTATATCATATGGAACCAATCCAACTGATATAGATATTATACCGCAAAGTGATGATGTCACTGGATGCATGATTACATGGTGACTTGCATAATACGTACTGCTGAAATGTCATGTTGCACCACGTTATAGACCAGGCAGAACAATCCTTCCAACCACTATAGATAGATTCTCAAATAGCTTACCTGATTAGAGAGAAAACTAAAGCACCATGGTACAACAGTGCTACACATGCTATCAAGAGAGAAACTCGCAACTTAGAGCGTAAATGGAAACAAACTAATTTAGAGGTCTTTAGAATCGTGTGGAAAGACAGTATGTCACGTTATAAAAAGACACTAAAAACAGCCAGGGCTGAGCATCTCCGCAAACTAATAGAAAATAACCAAAATAATCCAAGGTTTTTATTTAACACCGTGGCTAGACTAACAAATAAACAGACATAACCGGAGCAGAATATTCCGTTACAGTTTAGTAGTACTGATTTTATGAATTACTTCAATGAGAAAATAGAAAGCATCCGAAACACAATTATAAATGTACAATCCTCTATGGTGTCTTGTGATTCAGCCTCAATTATGGCCCCTCTAGAACAACTACACCGCTTTACAACTAGGAAGAGCTAAATAAACTTATCATTGCATCTAAACCAACAACATGTTTATTAGATCCAATACCCACTAAACTACTGAAAGAACTATTACCTGTAGTGGAAGAGCCTCTCCTCAATATTATTAACTCGTCTATATCTTTAGGTCATGTTTCAAAAATATTAAAAATGGCAGTAATAAAACCTTTCATTAAGAAACCGCAATTAGATCCAAATTACAGACTCCTTTTAAATCTTCCATTTATGTCCAAAATACTAGAAAAAGTTGTGTCCGCTCAATTCTGCTCTTTTTTGCAAGAAAATTATATCTATGATAAATTCCAGTCAGGATTCAGACCGCATTACAGAAACTGCGCTAGTGAAAATTACAAATGATTTACTTTTAGCATCTGACCAAGGCTGTATTTCAATAGTTCTACTTGATCTTAGCGCTGCGTTCGACACTATAGATCATAAAATACTCTTGGATCGACTACAAAACTACACTGGTGTTCAGGGACAGGCATTAAGCTGGTTTAGATCGTACTTATCGGACCGTTCTCATTTTGTCTGTTTAAACGGGGAAAAATCAAAGATAACGTCAGTAGACTATGGAGTAGTGCAAGGATTGGTTATTAGGCCCTCTGCTATTCTCAATATATATGCTGCCACTTGGTAACATTATAAGAAAACATTGAATTAATTTCCACTGTTATGCTGACGACACTCAATTGTATATTTCATCGTGACCAGACGAAAACACTTACTCATCTAAATTGACAGTGTCTGAACGATATAAAATGCTGGATGACGCTTAATTTCCTGCTATTAAATTCAGATAAAACGGAGGTATTACTTATTGGTCCAAAAAACTACACACAAAGCCTCTTACAATACAACTTTAATATAGACGGATGTCCTGTTACTTTATCCACTACAGTAAGAGACCTGGGTGTTATACTAGACCGCAACTTGTCTTTCGAAAATCATATTTCATATGTTACAAGAACAGCCTTTTTCTACCTTAGAAACATTGCTAAGCTACGTAACATGCTATCTGTTTCTGATGCAGAAAAGTTAGTTCACGCATTCATGACCTCGAGACTAGATTACTGTAATGCTTTATTAGCCGGTTGTCCTGCATCCTCAATAAACAAGCTACAGTTAGTACAAAATGCAGCTGCTATAGTTCTTAATAGGTCAAGAAAATATGATCATATAACAGATTTTATCATCTCTACACTGGTTACCTATTAAGTTCCGTATCAACTACAAAGTACTACTACTGACCTATAAAGCCCTAAATTGTTTAGCTCCTATCCTGACCTTCTTTCACCCTAATCCACCGCGTTCCTTAAGATCATTAAATTCAAGGCTTCTGGTCATTCCTAGGATATCTAAGTCCACTAAAGGAGGGAGGGCGTTCTCACATTTAGCTCCAAAACTCTGAAATAGCCTTCCCGATACGTGCCGAGGCTCTGACTCACTGACACAGTTTAAAACTAGACTAAAGACGCATATCTTTAGTCAAGCATTCACATAATGCTTGCCTCTTATTCCTCTGTTATGCCATACGGAACCGTTTGCCACTGAAATTGCTCAAAGCACCAGTGGGGCTCGACAGCCTTTTAGACAAACGGGTCGGCGCGTATGTTTGGGTTGTGGAGAGTTTAGGATTGCGGAGAATTTGTGAGATTGTGGTTTTTGAACACCTACTCCCGTGTAATGGAAATCATTATGAACATCAGCTATGCTAATTATTTCCCATTTGCCTTTCTGCTGTTGAATGGCGTTCGTCAGCTCCAGTTTTGTATCCAGCCTCTCATGGGGATTTCGGATGCCCCAACGCCTGTGATGAGAAGACCAACGCCTGTGAAGAGACAAATCCACGCCTGTGAAGAGACGACTCAACGCCAGCTACATGTTATTCCCTTAATATTACATGAATAACTAAATGTATTTTTCCATGTACTTTCTGAAATACACTAACTGTAAAGCTTCTTTGAAACAATATGAATGTTAGCCAGAGGAGAACTGGCCCCTGACTGAGCCTGGGTTCTCCCAAGGTTTTTTTTTCTCCATCCAATCTGATGGAGTTTTGGTTCCTTGCCACTGTCGCCTTGCTTTTGGCTTGCTTATCGGGGATATTTAATATTTAATATTCAACAATATTATTGATCTGTGTTGTACTACTTTCATGTTATCACTGTCTGTGAAGCTGCTTTGATGCAATCTGTATTGTGCAAAGTGCTATATAAATACATGTGACTTGACTTGACTTGAGTATTTACTCACCCTCTTGTTGTTCCAAACCTCTGTGTTTATTTGTTCTGCTGAACACAAAGGAAGATATTTGGAAGAATGTTTTAATCAAACAGATCTCATTCCCCATTGACTACCATAGGAAAAAATACATACTATGGTAGTCAAAGGGGAATGAGATCTGTTTGATTAAAACATTCTTCCAGATATCTTCCTTGGTTTTCAGCAGAACAAATAAACACAGAGGTTTGGAACAACGTGAGTAAATACTGACAGAATTATCATTTTTTTAGGTGAACTAACCCTTTAAACTTTGTTATTTATATTTTAAATGAGCGACCGTTTTGCTTGATTCATCGTCTGGAATCGTTTAAAGCCCTTTGAACAGTTTGCACTGAAACTGTCTTTTGGACCTTGAACCGTTTGGTTACCATTAAAGTGCATTATATGGAGAAATGTTTTCATCAAAAACCTT